TTCTAGTAAGTGGTTTGAATGGACATATGTCTTGTGAGAGTATTCAAACAAATTGATTTCAAGTTTGGTTCAATTTGGAGAAAAATGGCTCAATTATTGAAATCTGTCCAATATTGAAAATCTGAGCTAGCAGTGATCATAGACATGTTTGAGTAATCAAATCTATTTGTATTGGCTTGAAATTTGGTCTGCATGCTCTACACTTATGGTATTAGTTGCTGTACAAATTTTATGAGATTTGGATAAGTGATACTTCGGATCTGGAGTAGATCTTGTTAGCTATAGTGCAACAGTTTTCAGCATATACCTGTGTGGAAAGATATGAAATCTGGTAGCAATATAGAAGTCCAAAGAAGCTCAAATTTTTACAGCTACTAGAAGACTTAGTGTGTCACATCTTCACCAAATTTCGTGGTTTTTGGATATGTACTTTGGGAGATATGATTTATTCTTTGAAGAGTACAGAATCTGCCAGGAAAGTGACAATTATCGGATTGATCAAAAGTCACTTAGATTCAAAGGTCCGCAAATTAGAATCATATCTATAAGTGATTGAGGTACCTATGTTTTGGTTTTGGTTTGAGATAGAAGCATGACAAATGATGAGTACAAGACAATTTATTTGAAGAGTGTATCTAGTACACATTTGGTACTCAAGCTAGAGATCAAGACCAAGATCAAGATGAAGATGGAGTTTAAATTCTAGTGATAATTGGAGATCTTTTGATAGAAAGAAAAGGACTTAAACAAGTAGAAAGAAAAGGACTTAAAGAATGATTTAAAGTTATTCATCAAATTAAGTCCAACAATATGGATCAATCAAACAAAATCTTTCAAGTAGATCAAGTGATTTTCTTTCAAGTTATTTCAAGTGAGTATCAAGGATGGTTCTTTGGAGAGAGGTCACTTCGCTCTAGGCTTGGATGGCTAAAATCTAAGTGGTAATCTAAAAGGGACATTTGAGGTACTTGGTTGAAGAAAATCAAGAGATTGATCTAAAAAGCAAGCAACACCCAAAAGAGAACAAGTCATAAAATTTCAAGTGGTATCATGAAATTTCAAGTGGTATTACAAGTGGTGCATCTTTCAGTTCTCTCAAGCAAGCAATGATCAAAGAAGAAGCAAGCCAACCACAACAAGAAAAGTGCACTTGATCATTAGTGATTCTCAATTCATATGGGTGAAGAATAGGAATTCAAAGAATTGGTATCTATTGGTCTTCACCAAGCTTATAATTGGACTTCATGGTGCTCTTGGAGAAATGAATTGAAATCTATATGACTATCTTCCTCTCCAACATAGCAAAGGTATCATTGTATTGTGCATGATCATTTTCATCCCTTACTAGTATGCGGTTAGTGCATATAGTACATGCTTATAGGATCATGCACTACAAATAAAAATTTTTAGATTCATAGACTACCACTATTGCCTGAATGATTATATGATCTAGTGGTTAGTGTATGAGTTTGTTCATGAGCTAGTAAACCCATGTACTTGATCTATTTTGAATTGCAAACAAGTGACAAGTACAACCTCTTTAAGATGACAAAGGGGGAGAGGTTAATACAAAGAGGGAGAGATTAGTACAAAGTTTTAACCTTAAGCACCCTTTGTGCTTTGTGTGACCCTTTTTGGCGATAGATGACAAAGGGGGAGAGATATGATTAAAGCTTAAGGAGGAGAGAGATGAAAGCTTAAGGGGGAGAGATATGTTTAATGCTTCAAGAATGCAACCTTGTGTCTAGCTAGGAAAGGGGGAGACTAGCTATGACAAGGGGAGAGATATGACTTGAGAAATCTTTGTGATGAGTGCTATGTGTGTGATATATATGATGTATTTACTTTCATAAGGACCATGCATGTTTTAGAGTGACTTTGTATGGTGTGATGCTTTTTGTTTAGTCTTGTGTGATATATCATGTCATATGCATCATGGTTTTTATTTTGACACACACTTGCACCCCACGGATGCAATGATTTAGGGGGAGTCTCCTATATGTTTTAGTATGTGCAATTGACATTTGAGATCATTTTGTGAATTCTAATCATAAGCACATATTAAGGGGGAGCCTCTCATAAATCATTGAACCCAAAAGTTTAAATGTTTATATCATTTTGTAAGCTTTAATCAAGTTGTCATCAATCACCAAAAAGGGGGAGATTGAAAGTGCATCTAGCCCTTTAGTGGGTTTTGGTTGATTGAATGACAACGTGATTAAAGGACTAACCCGTTTGCTAAGTGTGAACAGGTAATAGGTTATCTCACAGGTACTTAATGAAAGCCAAAATGATGTGTTGTTGTATAAACAATCTAGTTCGAGCACAAGACAACAATGCAAATGGAATTCATGTGAAGGCTTATTTTTTGTGGGATTTCCATTGACTATGTGAAAGCAAGCTCATGATTATTAGTTAATGAGACATGAGGGATTGCATATGGAATGGTCTCATATTTGAAGCTTGCTAAATTAAAATGAAAAAGATAACAATACATATGAATGGATGATTCAACACAAGATGTGACTTGATGGCTTGAGATGGTGAAGATAGCAAGGAAAGGCTTGAGGTACTAAGCAAGGGTGAAGGGCAAGCGACGGCTTGGCGGCCGAAGAACCTAGCTAGGGTGAAGAAGAAAGTACTTGCATTTAGTTGAGGTACTAATCAAGCTAAGATGGTCATATTGATGTGAAGAATCAAATCTATAATGAAGTATTTGATGGAAGTGACTTGATACATTTGGGGTTATTCAAATTTGATGAATGAAATCAAGTCACATGCTCAAGATGGCTATGCTCAAATGAAAAGATCAACATCAACTTGTTAGCACCCTTACTTGATGAAGATTGGAAGGGACGGCATCAATTCAAAAGAAATCAACTCAAGTGGTATAAATTCATTTTTCTTTTGATCTTGAGTTTAATAGGTATGCCGTACTATTAAGAGGGATGCATCATGTTGATAGATAATGTTTCATAAGTGCTCAAGCCAACCCATGTGAGTTTTGAGTATTTGAGAGACAAATGTGCTAACTGATTTCTTGCTGGTCTGGCAATACCGGACGTGTCCGGTATTCATACCGGACGTGTCCGGTATTTGTTCAGCAGCTGCAAAATTGTTGCTCTCGGGTTGCTTCGTCGGGAGTTCCGACGTAGGTCGGGAGTTCCGACGGTCGGGAGTCCTGGCATGAGTCGGGAGTTCCGACGTCTCGCACTTCAACTGACTTGGAGGGTTCTCTGTCCTGGTCATACCGGACGTGTCCGGTATTAATACCGGACGTGTCCGGTATGGATGACCAGAAGCCAACGGCTAGTTTTCAAAAGCCGTGAGGGTCGGGAGTTCCGACGTATGTCGGGAGTTCCGACGGTCGGGAGTTCCGACATATGTCGGGAGTTCCGACGACGTATGTCGGGAGTTCCGACGGTCGGGAGTTCCGACATATGTCGGGAGTTCCGACACCTCACTAACTTTAACTCAGTTACATGTTTTTCAAAATTATCGAGGTCGGGGGTTCCGACTTGAGTCAGGAGTTCCGACGGTCGGAAGTCCGGCATTCTTCGGGAGTTCCGATGCCTCACAACATCACTATAACTTAGTTACCGTTGGCGCAGTCTGAGTCATACCGGACGTGTCCGGTATGCATACCGGACGTGTCCGGTATTGCAGCAAACTATAAAGCGGCTAGTTTTTCAAGGGGCTATAAATACCCCAAGCCTCCACCTTTGGAGGCTGCTGATTCTCTTGACTTAGACACACGTTTTTGAGCCTTGCCAACCCTCTCTTAGTGAGTGATTGATCAAACTTGCAAAATCAATTTGTGGGTTGAGTGAAATTCAAAAGAGAGCCATCCAACCACTTGAGCACTTGTGCATATTGTCAATCTCGTGATTCGCATTTGTTACTCTTGGACTCTTGGTCCTAGAGCGGTTAGACGTCGCGGAGAGCACCCGGGAGATTGTGGTGTGCCTCGGAAAGTTTGTAGAGTCGATTCCGCCGCCTCGGAATCAATTAGTGGAAAGAGGAAAAGGAGTTGGAAAAGACTCGGCTAGAGTGACCTTCGTGGTATCCTCTAGGGCTGACCTTCATTTGGTCGCCTGCAGCCCCCCTCAAGGAGAGTAGGACTCGAACGAGTCCGAACTTCGGTAAAACAAATATCGTGTCTCAATTCGCATTTCATTTGATATTTGTGTTGCTCTAGCACTTGTGCGAGTTCTCTGTGTATCTTGATAGTTAAATTAGGTGCCTGCAGTTTGGTTTGAAGATAGAAATCAAAAGGAAGTTCGGGGCTGATCTGCAGAAAATGTATATACGGACACGTCCAGTATTCATACCGGACACACGTCGGTATTTCCTGCATGCACTAAAAATATTTATTCTCTGTTCTAACTTGATGTTGCAGGGTTGTAGCTTCTAGATATATTCTTTATACCTTGTTTACTCTGTGGCTAACTTGTGAGGGGTGGTAGTACTCTTAATTTGGAGTTTCCATTTTGGAAACTCCCCTTTCTAATTGTTTCCGCATTTAAAGGTGTTAATTTTCAGAAACGCCTATTCACCCCCCCTCTAGGCGACATCCTAGGTCCTTTCACAGGGAAAGGTCGCGGGCTGCTTGGCGGGGAAGGGAAGAAGCCTTGTGGTAGCGAGCGACGAAGGCGCCTGCTGCGAGAGGTGAAGGGGCGGGCATGGCTCGAGGCGGGCGCCGAAAGGAGCGGAAGCAGATGAAGTAGAGGAATCGTTAGTCTGATACCATGACAGAGAAAGGCCAAGAGGCTTAGATTACTTAATGATGAGATTACAAGGGGATTACATATATAGAGAGAGAGGCTAAGCTAGAGAGTTAAGAGGGGGGAAGTCCCAGGCAACATGCCGGGAGTCCCTAGGCAACACACTAGGTAGAAACGCAAAAGGCAGCCGATACAAAGTAATAGCCAGAGGAAATAAATACTCTAACACTAACCGCCGCAGCTCCTGTACCCACCGCTCCCTGTATCTCAGAAGAGATGCCAAAGCGACCAATTGGTCAGAAGGCAGCCAAAAATGCAGCTTTAGCTGAAAAAGGACAGTCAAAACGACCCAGGTCAGATGATGATGATGGCAACTCAAAAGAATCTGCAATTAATTTGGACAAGTTAGACAAATTCCAGGAGGAAACAAATGCAAATCGCATCAAGGTACTGGAACTTCAACAGAAGTTGTCATCTGAGAAGCTTGAGACCGCAAAACTTGCCCACCTTACAGCACAAGAGACTAAAGAGGGAAAGAAGCTTATTTTAGAGGCAAAGAAGGTTGAGAAAGAATCAAAGATGATGGATGCTTATAATAATCTCATCTCACAAGATACAAGCTCAATGTCTGATGAAGAAAAGGCTGAGCGAGTTGTTGCAATGAAGTGTCTTAGGAAGGCATTTTTTCCTGACACTATCTAAATAGGTATGATCTGAAGACAGCATGTTTTTTCCTGAAATTTACAATTTTCCCCATCAGACAACATTTTTGTTAAGTTCAGACATTTTTTCCCTGTGCAGAGGATGAGTTGTTATCTACCTGATGCTGTGATGAGTAGCATGTCTAATGCTGTGATGAGTAGCTTGTCTGCATGTTATCTGATGAGTAGCCTGTTCTGCTGGTTATCTGGTTCAATGTTTCTGTGTTCTAAATATGTGAATGCTTCTAGTTATCTGAACATGTTGCTTCCGTGGTCTGAAAGTTTCTGAACATGCTTCTAGTTATCTGAACATTTTGGTTCAATGTTTTGAAAGTTTCTGAACATGCTTCTAGTTACCTGAATGCTACTAGTGTTCTGAAAGTTTCTCGGTTACCTGAATGCTTCTATGTTCTGAAATGAGTAGCATGTTTATTCCATTGCTTCTAGTTATCTAAAAGTTCCGAAATGCTTCTAGTTAAGTTTCTGTAATATAATAATAATTATTATTATTAGATTTATGCCCGTGCATTGCACCGGGGTCATAAATTTTTTGTCCACTCCTATAGTGTCGGACTTGATCATTTTTAGGAAATAATTAAAAGGGTAATAAATAATTTTATATTGAGAACCATAAACTATTTCCAAATCTACTGAGACCTATATTTCACTTCTCTAATTAACCCTTAGCACAACACATGAATCCTCTCTACGAGGTAAGACACCACCATCGCTAGGCAGTCAACGGTCCTAGCATACAAATACACTGCAAAATCATAGTGCACGCAAAAATGCTTCTCTGATTATAATTCTATGGGACACGACATACTCGTCTTAATGTATTACATTGATGTAAAATCAACTATTGCTAACGAAAAGAAGGCAAAGTTAAGATAGAAATAAACTAAATAAAAAAGATGACCAACTACTTGAAGCCTTCAAAATAGGCAAAAAGTGGAATAACAAATTAATCTCTATGAGGTCACTCCAGTAGTATGAAGAAACATTGGGGCACCATAAATTTTATATATTGGCCGCTCTAAGAGAAAGCGGTATCTTTTAAAATGAATTACAGTAATATAGCCTGTAATTAAAGATGAGCAATCGGCCCCAGCCCAGCACGCCACAGGCCCGCGCCAGGCACGGCACGATTGGGCCCGGCACGGTAGGGCCCGCCGTGCCACAGGGCCATGCCACAGTAGTCCACCATGCCCGGCCGGGGGCCGTTTTTCGGGCCGTGCCAGCCCAAAAGGCACGGGCCCAAAATCCCACCGTGTCAGCCCGGAGCCCGCATCACAAAAAACACCAGATTCAATACACATTTCAATATACAAAACTTTAGAAGTCTCAATTCAATACAACTATATAGCAGTCTCACATTCACAATTCACAGATCAAATATGAAAGACAAGATGATCAAATTTTGAGTTGTTTGTGCAATGCCGCCTCATTAAAAACCTTTCTAGGTAAAACTCACACATCGTGATAAACCCTAAAAAGGAAAAAAGAGTACGGCCATCTCATTTTAAAGTTCAAATATTCAAAGTTATTACAAACCAGAGTTCAAATGTTCACTCACACTCTCACAAACAATCAGACTCATAGTCACAGACACTCTAAGAGTCTTAGACTCACAAAGACACTCAAGACTCAACCAACAACAACATCTTGATCTCCACTCTCTGCTCTTTGCTGGCCTAACTCCCAGTCCTTGATGCATACCAACATCTCCACTGTCTCTGAGCCCAATCGTCATCGCCGCTCCTCAATGATTCTGCCAGTAAGACTAAAGCAAGACTCCGAAGAAGTAGTTGAGACATGAACTAACATAATATATTTAACCATGGTAGAGAGAATTAGATAGATTAGTTTATGCTCGTGCCACCAATTAAGGATATTAAAGTCATCATCATAGGCCACAACATTGTCACTGTCAAGGTAAACAGTGAGCTCAGAAAGACCAGGAGTCATAGTAGTAGATGATGAACTAGTGGCAGTTGAAGGACAAGAAGCACCTGATCCTCCAAAAATTTTGCCCCATACCTGCTTTCTCTTACCTGTCAGTCCAGATGGATGTGTGGTCCTGGTTGGCCTGGCTGCACCAAACTTGGATTCATACTTGTCATACAGATTATGCAGCTCAGTTTTAACCTCAGCAAAATATGCATTGTAACTCATATTGTTACACTGAGAAGCAGTTCAAGAACATTATGCAAACCTCTCATCTTAGCCCTATGGTCCAGAACAAATGCAAATGCATATAACAGTGGTATAGACTTCCAATACTTAAGAAATTTAGCCTTCATTGGCATAACAACAGCACTAAGATTACTGTCATGTTCATAGTCATGCAGATGGCTAGCAATCTCAAGTATGTGATGCAGTACCAAAGGACTAGTGGGGCAATAAACACCAGAAAGAACAACAGTTGAATCATAGAACACTTCAAGGAACTCTAATACCTTTTCAGCAACAAACCAATGTTGTTCATTCAATAGTGGATAGCCACTATGAGTATTTATGAACACAGAAAACATAGATCTATATGGCATTAGATGCTTTAGCATAAGATATGTTGAGTTCCATCTAACATCCATATCCAAAGCAAATTTACGAGGCCGCACACCCTTAGCATTGCAGTAGTTTTTAAATTGTGCAATGTGCTGGTTAGATGAATTTAGAAAGTTAATTACAGTTCTAAAAAACTTTGTATAAGGTTTAAGCCTTTTCAAACCAGATTTAACAATCAAATTAATTATATGGCAAGCACAGCGCTGATGCACAACATGATAAATCTTTTTATTAGCATTTACTGGATCAACATCAAAACCCAAGTAACCAGCAAGCATAGGTGTCAAAGTAAGCATAGCAGTTGTATTAGAAGATGCATTATCAAGGCTAACAGCGAAAACTTTGTCAGGCAGACCAAAATCTCGAAGCACACTAGCAATACATTCAGCAATGTTAATACCATTATGAGACACTTCAATCAGTTTAAAACCTATCACGGATTTCTTAAGTTCCCAATCAGCAGTAATGTAGTGAGCAACAACAGTTATGTAATCTTACTTAGCATTACCTGACCATATATCAAAAGTCAAACAAACAGCAGACATACCAGGCATAACAACATTTTTAAGGTGATGTAGTTTTTCATTGTAAAGCTTAGACAGGTCTCTAGCTATGGTAAATCTAGAGACTCTATTATACCTAGGGTTGTGAGCACGCTGAATGTAATCATCCCAGGCATCAGTGTCAGCTATTGCTAAAGGAAGATCTAGTCTGGCGATCAAACGACATAACTCAACCCTAGCAACATCTGGTTTATATTCCTAGTTTCTATAAGATCCATCAGGGTTTAAAGCAAGCCTAGTTTGAACCATAGCAGCATGATCTGCCTTCTTCATGCATGATTTCTGATGCCTAAGCAAATGGCTAGTGCCAGCATTTGAATTAGCAGACAACCTAGCCTTACAGAACTTGCAAACTCCAATAACACGTTTCTTACCATCAATGTTTTCTATGACTTCATCGAAGTCTCCCCAGACAGCAGATCGACGCTTACCATTGCTGGACGATGCTAGAGAGTCATTGTCATTAGAGGCCGCAACACCACTAGCCGGCGCTGCCTCCTCTAGGTTGATCGGAGCAGCATTGCTACCGAACAAGAGCGCAGCAACATCTCCCATGTCGTCGACGTCATTGGGGAGCTGCCCTAACTCGACGAGCTCTTCGTTGATGGTTCTAGGGTAGTGGCCATCTTCGCCGTCCATGGCCACCCCAACCTCGTCTTCTTCCCCTCTCGGCACCGTACCTCAACAGCTTGTGCGGCAAAAGCACGACGCACCAGGCATCAGCCGACGACCTACGAACAAAGAACAGAGAGATCTAGGGTTAGGGTTCATGTGAAGATAGAGAGATTAGGGTTAGGGTTCATGTGAAGACAGATAGATCTAGGGTTCGTGATGAACCTACACAGCCGGAGCCCGTGCGTCGGAGAGGCGGAGATGAAGACGCGGCGTCAGGAGCACCACCCCGACGGATGGCGAGCAATGAGATCAACCGGTGGAGGACAACGGCCGATTAGAGAGAGGTCGGGACGAAGAAGAGAGTATGAGAGGAGGAAGATGAGTGGAGATCTGCAAGATCCGGCGGCGGAGACGTCACCAGAGACGGGCAGGACGACGTTAGTTGCAGGCGGGTGGCGGCAAGGGCGAGAGAGGCGAGAGCGAGTCAGCGAGAGAGGCGACCGCGACTTGGCCCGACGGGTGGGGAATGGGGATTAGGGTTTGGGGAGGGGAGCGGCCATGGCGGAGGGGGCTTATATTGCCTCCCCTGGGAACCGGGCCTGGCCATGCCGCCCGCTGGGCTGGGGTGGCGGCCCAAGCACGGCCTGTGCTTCGGGCCGTGCCTGGCACGGGCCCGGTGAAGGCCGGTCAAAAAAAGGGCTTTGGGACGTGCCACAGTGCCACGGGCTGCATGCTCATCTTTACCTGTAATTGACTAATTACCGAAATTTTAGAAAACCAATACATGTAGGACAATATTTTTAACAGGTATCTATACAATTTTGATTCGTATTTTTTGGAACTGTGACAATTTTCTAATGAATATTGGAAGACCTTGAATGCACAAGTACTAACATTGTTAACTTAGCTTATTAGCTTGTACTGTTCACGGCATGCAACACACCAGCCGTCCTTTTTATTTTCTCTATTCGGTCACGGCATGCAGTACACCAGCTGGCCTAATCCTACTACTCCTAAATTCCTAATCGGTCCAACACGGTGTTTGAAGGGAGCGAGGGAATCGGTCCGACACGTGTTGAATGGAGGGAGGGGATAGTTAGCACATGACGATGACAATAGTAATTTTTCAGTCGTAGAAGAGTAGAGATAGAGATTATGATGATTTTAAAAATATTGTAATTATGTTCGTCTTATTTATGCTTGAATCGTATTTTCATCAAACGGCGACACAATGATATACAAATTGATATTCATGATTGATTTTAGCTTCATGCAATGCATTAAACTATTTACAGACAACCTCATCTCTGTGTTGTACGAACTGTCTTTTTAATCGTTTATACGTAGTCTCTTAGAAACGACCCCTGTCACTGGGTCGTACATACCCAGTTACTTTGGCAATTGGCAACACAGTTTCCGTGGGACCCTGCAATTTCCCTGGGCCAAGAAACCCCGTGCTAGTCTCCCCTGCGCCAATTCTTTGCGCTCTTTGAAAGCCCACCAACTTGGGTATTGAAGCCCGCTTCCTTGCGTTTCCCACGCGGAAGGAAACTGCAAGTCCTGAGGCCAGGAGGGTTTCCCTGACCCTGTCGACTCGTTTGCTCTCGCAGCTTGCAAGTCGCAAGGCGGTCGCTGCCACCCCACCAGCATCCAGTGGCCACCAAATTCTCTATTCATTTTCCTATCCCACCATCCAATCAATAAAATATAGAAAAAAAATTGGTTTCATAACATCGAAAGATCGTGACATTTAGAAAATACCATCGAAAGACGTTCTTACGTAAAATAGCACCGAAAAAATAAACTATTACCTCCAAATAGCGTTCTGTCACCGTGGCTGTTACCGTGAATCCCTCAGTCGAGCCACCTTTCTTCCTCGATCCGATGCTCCTCCGTTCGCAGGCAGAGGAGGCAACACCGCCGACACGAGAAGGGAAGGGTCACGTTCCTTGAGCATCCGTTGTCATCCTCCCGGCCTGTCACCAGCAATGATGGCCCGTGCTATTTCCATGATCATGACAACGTCTGCCGTGCCGCTGCCGTTCTCCGAAGCATGGTGCCGGAATGGCCCAGCAGCTGCCGATGGCAAGCGCGACGCTGGTCTCTGTGAGCATGGTGCTGAACTGCAGGAAGCCGAACCAGGATCTTGGTGATGTTGATGTTGATGCCTCGCCCCGTCGGCGGCCTAGCTAAAAATTGAACTAGCTATAGCTGTTATTTCAGAAGAAGCGAAAAATTGAACTAGCCAGCTAGCGGAAGCCGGAAGAACGTCCAGACCAGGCACAGGCAGCCGTCGTAGGTGATCCAGAGCACGCCGCCTGTGGACGACGGTCGTTGCGGCCAGTTGTGCACATGACGGGCACGTTGAGGACAGTGCCGAACTAGACATACGCCACTAGCTAGTACGCCCACGGGCCGATTTTTTTTTGTTTTTAACCCCTTTTTTAAGATTTTCACAAATACACCTGACAGTATCCTTTTAAAAAAATAGACCATGACCTCGATGTGATAATTGGTGCCGGCGCCAAGGTACAGGGTCATTTTCTACGTGTCGTTGATGTGGCTACCTGCGTGGCGCGGACGTGGCATAAGCTCGGCGCCATAGCAATTGGCGCCGAGCTATGGAAATTGACAAATTTTATTTTTTATCATGACTTGGATATTGAGAAATGTGGCTATCTCTAGAGTTTTTACAGTGACTTGCTATTTGATCACTTAAAACAATTTAGAAATACTTAAGATAAAAAAATTTGCCTGATCAAATGAAACTATAGCACATCCAGGCGACACAGTACAGAGCTCGGCTCCTACAACACGGCGGGACGATGCAGGGCTCGGCTCTATGCGTCTATTGCATTGCTAACCGGAGATGCATCGGTGCATGCAATGAATCGTACGTGCATGTGTAGGCATGCAAGCACGGACACAACACACCTCACCTGTAAGCACGTCATGACATGTAAGCACGTGGAAATATGGCTTAAGTCTAGAATTTATGACCGTGGCTAAGTCTGATCTTTTGCCGTGACTAAGTCCAAAGAGACTTGTTTTGTTGTCATCTCCTAAGAGAGTATTCTAAACTCGTAGTATGGTATCCAATTTAGTTGCTATACAAATTTAAAAGATAAAATATCGTAAACATGTTAATTCACTATCGGTAATAAGGGAATTAGAAATATTTAGAGGGGCCAAAACATCATTGTATTCAAACTTGTGGTCACAATTCAGCCATGTTAAAGACTGATTTAGGTGTAGATCCAAAAGCAAAGTTTGTTGTACTCAACTCAAACTACAACTTCTATTAAAAGTCAAACTTCATATCTAGAAAAGAAACTATAGTTTTATCCTAGTCAAAACAGCATCATGAAAAAGGAGTTAACTATTGATTCAACACTTCGAAGTATTTTTAGGCTAGTTCATAAACATAAACCCTAGATCAATTTTTATCTTAAGTATTTTTAGACTATTTTAAGTGATCATATAACAAGTCATTATAAAAAATCTAGAGTTAGCCATATTTCTCAATATCAAGTCATGATAAAAATTAAAATTTGTTAATTTTTATAGCTCGGCGCCAGCAGCCACATCAACGACACGTAGAAAATGACCTTGGACCGTTTAAGCTCGGCGCCAAGGTCAGTTTTTTTAAGATACTGCCAGGGACGTATTTGTGAAAATCTTTTAAAAAAAGCTGAAAAAAAAATCGGGCCCACGGGAGGCCGCCGTCCGTGGCATAGAAGCCGAACGCGAAGCGACCGGACGGGGACGGCCAGGCGGCGCCCACAGTCACAGTCGCCTGCATGGAGGTCCCCAGAGCCCCGAGGTGACGTTGGTGGTCTGGAGTAGTACCTGGTACAGGCACGGAAAGAAACTTGGCGAGCGCGAGCGACAGCAGGCATAGAGCCATGGCACGCGTTGGCAGCCAAGCTCCGTCCGCCTCTTCCCTTCGACCCCGGCATGCTCCGCCGACCGCCGTGGCCCTTCAACGGGTATGTCCAGGTCTCGCTCACCCTGTCCGTGTCGGCGACAAAGCGCTCTCACGCGGCGGTGGCGTTCAACATGTCAACTCGGCATTCACGGCGGCGGCATGGCCGGCGACGGAGGGCTCTCATGCAGCAGTGGCGTTAACCACGCGGCAACGCGGTGTTCAGCGGTGGCATGGCGCGGCAACGCCATGATGCGGGTTGGAGCGGCAACGTCGGCTTACGCGGGTTAGCCGCACGAACCCGTTTGCGGGCTGGGCGACGGGATTACGCGGGCTGGCACGGGCATACGGACAGAGGAGCAGCTTGATCGCGGGAATTCACGGTAACACCAGCCACCACGGACATCTTTTACAATATTTTTCAAATGCCGTGATCTTTCGAAACCAATTTTTCCTGAAATCTATCTCGCTCCTTCCTTCCCTGCTTCCCTATCCAAGTCTTAGCCCTTGTTTAGTTCCATCCCAATTTCTAAAAAGTGTCTACAGTACTTGTCACATCGAATGTTTACGGCCTGTGTATGGAGCATTAAATATAGACGAAAAGAAAAACTAATTGCACAGTTTGATGGGAAATTACGAGACAAACGTTTTGAGCCTAATTAATCCATGTTTGAACACTATTTGTCAAATAAAAACGAATTTGCTACCGTAATCTCAAAATCCAAATTTCGCGAACTAAACGAGGGCTTATTTCCAACAATACAAACGTCGCCTCAGCGTCCAAAGGCCGCCTCAGGTCAATCCTACAAGTGCCCCTGACCTATTCCCCCGAATCAGTCGCCTCCCCTCCCCTCCCCTGTACTGCGCGGCCAAGCTGTGCCCCCCAGCGGCGAGCCATGGATCCTTTCCGCCCCCGGTGGCGAGCCATGGACCCCGCCAAGCGGCGAGAGGCGGAGCGGTATGTGAGCACCGCCAAGAATTTCCTGGCGGCGGGCGAGCCCGAGCGCTGCTGGCAGTTACTCGTCCAGGTCCTTTCCGTCGACCCAGGCGCCCCGGGCGCCGACGTCCTCTTGGTCGCTGCCACCGCCCTCCGCGCCCCCCAGCGCCGGCGCCTCCCGTCTGGGGCCCCCGAACCCTACGCCGTCTTTGGCCTCATCCCCACCGTCCCAACCGCCCGCGACCCCGCCTTCATCCAACCTTCTCAATCGCCCCCACCCCCGCGACCCGTGCTCGCCCGCCTTCGCCGACGCCGCCCGCCTCGTAGCCGACGCGTGGGCCTTCCTGTCAGATCCTGACCGCAAAGCTTCCCTCGACTCCGCATACGAAGCGTTCGAAGCTGCCGCAACTCCTGTACCCACCGCTCCCTATATCTCAGAAGAGATGCCAAAGCGACCAATTGGTCAGAAGGTGGCTAAAGAGGCAGCTTTAGCTGCAAAAAGACGGTCAAAACGATTCAGGTCAGATGATGATGATGATGGCAACTCAAAAGAATCTGTAATTGATCTGGACAAATTAGACAGATTTAGCAAATCCCAAGAGGAAACAAATGCAAAACGCATCAAGGTACTGGAACTTCAAAAGAAGTTGTTGTCTGAGAAGCTTGAGACCACAAAACTTGCCCACCTTACAGCACAAGAGACTAAAGAGGGAAAAAAAAAAGCTTATTTTAGAGGCAAAGAAGGTTGAGAAAGAATCAAAGATGATGGGTGCTTATAATAATCTCATCTCACAAGATACAAGTTCAATGTCTGATGAAGAAAAGGCTGAGCGAGTTGTTGCAATGAAGTGTCTTAGGAAGGCATTTTTTCCTGAAACTATCTAAATAGGTATGTTCTGAAGACATCATGTTTTTTTTCTTGAAATTTACAATTTTTTCCCTGAAAACAGCATTTTTGTTAAGTTCAGAATTTCTTTCCCTGTGCAGAGGACGAGTTGTTATCTTCCTGATGCTGTGATCTACAATGTTTTCTGGTTATCTGAATGTTATCTACCTGATGCTGTGATGAGTTGTCTACGTGATGCTGTGATGAGTAGCCTGTTCTGCTGGTTATCTGGTTCAATGTTTCTGTGTTCTAAATATGTGAATGCTTCTAGTTATCTGAACATGGTGCTTCCGTGGTCTGAAAGTTTCTGAACATGCTTCAAGTTAACCGAACATCGCTCTGTTCGTTTGGGTTGGTTTGGCTTATAAGACATGGCTAAAAGTATTGTTGGCTGATTTGGTGTGAGAGAAAAATATTGTTCGTTGGCTGATAAGCTATGGCTTATAAGCCAAATACGACCAAGCGAACAGGCTGCCATGTTGGTTCTGTGTTTTGAAAGTTTCTGAACATGCTTCTAGTTACCTGAATGCTACTAGTGTTCTGAAAGTTTCTCTGTTACCTGAATGCTTCTATGTTCTGAAATGAGTAGCCTATTTATTTATTCCACTGCTTCTAGTTATTCGGAATGCTTCTAATTAAGTTTCTGTAATATAATAATAATAATAATAATAATAATAATAATAATAATAATAATAATAATAATAATAATAATAATAATAATAATAATTATTATTATTATTATTATTATTATTATTATTATTATTATTATTATGGTTCTAAAAAAATGTAATTATGTTCGTCTTATTTATGCTTGAATCGTCTCCATCAAATGGCAACATAGCGTATACAAATTGATATTCATCATTGATCTTGGCTTCATGCAATGCTTTAAACTGCTTTGAGACAACCTCTCGTCTCTGGGTTGTACGCTTTTTAATCGTCTATATTCAGATTCTAGTATCTTAGAGACAACCCCCTATCTCTGGGTTGTACATGCCCTAAAGATGCCCCCGCCCCCGCCTGCACAGGCTGTCGCAGCACAGGCTGGGCCTTATGACATGGGCCGCGGCAAGCGTTTAAAGAAGCGCTGAAGAAGATGAACTTGTAATCGCCGTCTTGGGCCTGGCACATTTTACCAGCATTATGTAATCAGTGAGGATGAGAGGGAGGGTAGATTTGGATATATCGAGTTAAACTCTGAAGTATGTCTTCCCTAATCTTTGCTCCGCTACTCTGAAACATTCCTCTAGAGCAAATGTATTTAACATGCTATATTTTGCTTTGTATTCTTAGTAGATAACTTTTTGTGTGAATGTCATCCAGATACTTGGTTTATGTGATTGCTGGAATGTTTCATCTAGACAGAACTGAAAGAAGGGGAAGGGCCACCTTGCCAACAAACTGTGGGACTTTAGGATTCTAGCATCGAATAGCATGCTCATTCAATTTTGTACAATAGTGCATTGAGATTAGCCTTACAAGAATTAAGGCGAGGGTATAATGACCATATTGTTCATTGCATTTTGCACAGTTCAGATGGGTTGCAAGTTTAATACATTGATTCTTATGCTTTTAAGGGATGGTAGACATGGAGATTGAGATACAAATTACATTTTTTTGAGGGGAACAGGAGGGGTTGCCCCCTAGAAATACAAATTACATTGATTAATGTGTATATGAGAAAATGGTACTTCCTCTTATTACAGATTTAAACTCTTAGCTTTAACTATCAATATTTAACAGTTGATACAGGTTGATAATGTAAGGTTGTTGATAACAGATTCACCATGAGATACACTAACTATTTCAATTTTATTTGCAGTCAAAGTGACACATTGGAGACCATGCTTCTGTCCTAAAGGACTCATAATTTGTTGCAGGTGATTTGCAGGTGCCCGGGCAGCACGGCTGTGAAACAAATCGTAATATTTCTTCAGGTTCCTCTGAGGCCAGGGTTCAGCAGCTGACTCTTTGACGCAATAGCCTTTGTTTGTCCTATCTTCCGGCTGTCAAACAATCGTAAGAGTTCTTCAGGTTCCTCTGAGGCCTGGGTTCAGCAGCTGATCCTTTGACGCGATAGCCTTTGTTTGTCGTATCTTCCTGTTCTTTCAGTCCTCTTTACAATCTAGGTTTATTTTGCAGTTCATCACTTTTTAATTTTTATTCGGATCTAGGATCCTAAACTCCTGCAGTTTGTTGGCAATGTGACCCTTCCTCTCCTCTTTCAGTCCTCTCTGTAGTGTACTGCGGTACTCTGTGTGCGTGTTACAATCTGTTGCAAGTGACTCGGAGCCGGCAAGGTGCAAGACGATTTAGCTGCTTTTTCCGGCTCTGTTGGGATAAAACTTAGTGCACATCTTTGTTCTGTTCCTGTTCTTACTTCTTATGATTCATCTACATGATTGCGCGTTGTTAGTTCTCACCTAGCGCCACTAGATAACCGCATTGGCCAAAGAATTTTTCTTCTTATAATTTGTTTATCGATCTATCCTAAATCCAGCCACACTTTGGGCCGACGAAAGCAAAACTTTTAGCTTATACCTTTGCTTTCATGCTATTGCTTTCATCTCCTCTCTCATCTTGAGCTCTTTCACTTCATGGTCCGAACCACCTCCCCATGCCCTTCATCTTGCTCAAGACAAGCTTGTGGACTAAGCCTAACCATTCACCTCAATGAAACATGTAGTCCACTAATGTTGTCACTTAGTTATCAAAAATCAAACCAGGTTTCAATGAACCACCTCCCCATGTCCATCTTGCTCAAGACAAGCTTGTGGACTAAGCCTTACCATTCACCTCAATGAACACATGTAGTCCACTAATGTTGTCACTTAGTTATCAAAAATCAAACCAGGTTTCAATGAACCACCTCCCCATGTCCTTCATCTTGCTCAAGACAATCTTGTGGACTAAGCCTTACCATTCACCTCAATGAAACATGTAGTCCACTAATGTTGTCACTTAGTTACCAAAAATCAAACCAGGTTTCAATGGACTAGTAAGAAAATAATAAAAGGAGAAAGCCACGTAATTCTAACACGGACATCAAAGCCTATCACAGACAAGGATGTGACTTGTTTGAATTTATTTAAAAAACTTTCGCTTCAGGTCGAGCACTGGTCTGTTCTTTACTCTTTAGTTAGTGCCTGTAACAATTTTTCTATGGCGTGATCACCATGTGCGCAATAGCTGAGAAAATGGCGTGAGGATGGGCATATCTTATCTCTACCAATCGGCATATATGCAAAGTACTGAAAGAACAAGGAAAGTATGTATGCGCACAATAGTTTGATGAGAGAGACTCCATAGAGAGCCTATGCCTATGGCTAAAAGTAGGAGAACATGAACGTGACGTTGCATATCACCTTGACAGCATCCACCGCAGATGCAGATTCCAGACGTAAATTATTGCAAATGTGTGAACCGGGTGTGAGCTCAGTTGGTTAGGTTTTTTGTGGGTGCTTGTATATTTTAATTTATTTATTATAAGATTTAGTTTTTTCTTGTTGCTTATAGGGTATTGTACGTGCATATATTTATAGGGATGAGTTCAGTAGAAGGTGGTTAGCAGCCTAGGGATTTATCTTTTTCTCATATTGAGCCTAATATGGGATATGTATCTAGTTCAAACGTAGTTCTATATATTAGCTTTTAGTTTTTTTTTATCTTATTAGTTGTTGCAATTTTTATCCATATGTTAGGTAAATAATTTTGGAGTATTAATATGATTTAAAGAAAATAGTTAGTATCATTGATATGTATGCATGTTTACTTGAGCTTGATAACTATTAAAATAAATATTGATCATAATGTTTGCATGTTTACTTGAGCTACTATATGATACTATGGCACATAGGTTGTGACTATAGTATACCAAATTGATGGCCAAATCTTTTTGACTTCTGTGATAATTTTAGAAATTATCCTTTTTTTTAGCACCTCATGTGGATTAACCTGATCTCTAGTAAGAATTTTTATGATTTTCTTCTAGTGCATTATATATTATTAGTTGAAACATAAGCTTATTGTATCTTTTTGTGACATGATGAATCTATATTTTAGCTTTCAACCTGTTGTGACATGATGCAGTTTCTTTATCCACATGTTAAATTAAAAATCTAGTGCTTATCATATTTATTTAGATTCCTTTTTATTTATTCTATTAAAAACAGTTTTAGGTCCTAGGTACACGCCTAGTTACTACAATGACATCAACAATCATTTTAACCTGCTCCATAGCACTCAAGAAGTTCAATTTTCTATGTGAAGAATTATAAGTATAGTAGTATTGCTTTATAAAAAACATAAAGTTCTTACAATTAAATTACTAATATTTATTGGACATAATATTTCAATAAAATATATGAATTTAATTGAAACAGCTTAAAAAATTATTGTCATAGAGTTTTAATATAATTTAAAGAGAATTGCGAGTGTTGTTGATACGTAGTTTGTTAAGAGAACATTTTTCACGCTTCATAAATATTAATCCTAATGTATGTATGTTTACTTGGTCTACATGGTGACATATAGCATTATGCTTACTTTTAGTTTAACAACAGTAGAAGTGTGTAATTTAGAAATATATGTAAATATTTTGTGAAATGAATTATTCCATAATTTATGTTACTATGTGTACAGAGATTTGAGGTATATTTTAGTTTATTTTTATATAGTGGCACAGGTGGATAGTTTAGATACAAACTAAAAGTATTACTTTATATTATCTTTCATAATGGCATGTGTCCGTATATATATATATATATATATGGTTTAGTTTTTGTTATCTTTTATAATAGCAAAGATGGGTAATTTAGAGCATCTCTAAGAGTTTTCAAAACCTAGTCCCAGTTTTGATTTTTT